CTGTGACATACTGTGTATAGACCTGTGACATACTAAGTGTGTAGACCTGTGACATACTATGTGTGTAGACCTGTGACATACCATGTGTATAGACCTGTGACATACTATGTGTATAGACCTGTAACATACTATGTGTATAGACCTGTGACATACTATGTGTGTACACCTGTGACATACTATGTGTATAGACCTGTAACATACTATGTGTGTAGAACTGTGACATACTATGTATGTATACCTGTGACATACTATGTGTATAGATCTGTGACATACTATGTGTGTAGACCTGTGACATACTATGTGTGTAGACCTGTGACATACCATGTGTGTAGACCTGAGACATACTGTGTGTAGACCTGTGACATACTATGTGTGTAGACCTGTGACATACTATAATACATGTGTACCCCTGTGACATACTATACTACATGTGTAGACCTGTGACATACTGTGTAGACTACTACAATAATATCTCACCAATTTCAGAATTTTTGGAATCCACCCATTTGTCTTTTTCCAAAACGATGAAGGTGCATTTATTCTCATCTGTCCACCAACTTTGTTGCATATCATACTCTTCATCCAAAGTTAAAGGCTCTGATGCAGTTAATGTCTGTAACTCAGTTGACTGCATCCATTCATGGTATCTATGGAAACAGCAGAGTCAAACAATGTAACGATGAGAGTATAATTATGGGGTTAAATACCCAAAATATTTGGAGATATTGGGCCAGAAGAAATTGCTTTTTCTACAAGATGATGAGTTGTCCCTTTTATCTCTTGCCACATCAAGACAGTTTTTTCCACAACTACGAATTAAGTATTTGAACTCATCCTCTCCATGAAATGAATTGGTAGTCATATTTACATATGACTAGAAAACTAGTTTCAAGTTAAAATAAAGTTATTATCTGGCTATGATAAACCTTCTCAGTACTGTACATGCATCAATTATTCACTGGTTTTTAATTCACTATTTTTGTTTTTAAACTTGTAGGATAAGAATAGAACTCATTGTTCCCACAAGTTTTTTTTATAATTTATAGGTTTTATTGGGTACTTAATGAGTTACATTCCATAGAATTACAAAAAGTAACATAACTTCAAGTAGATTCTTCCTGGTGAAAAAAATACACTCTGCTACAGTGAGCCTAGCTCACAAAGGGCAATAGAAGATTCCATTTTTTCAGATGTTTTACCATAGTGTTATTTTTGTGTGCAATAAACCTCTCAGACTGATATACTCAGTCTCATAAAGTTTGATTATTTTCCATTCATTTTGCAAAAATATATATGTTTTCTGACAAGCAGTGCAATGAAATTAATCGTTAATATTACCTTTGGGCCGGAAAGGATTGTGCACAGTTTACTTGTTATTTTCTATTTCCGCTAAGTTTGTGAATTTGTGAAATTGCTCAAAACATCATAATGATGAAATTAAATGGCAGTAAAAGTAACTAGTTTCACAGTATCCAATATGTTGTGCAGCATAAAAATGAAGGACTACCGGTAACATAGCTTAGGGGTGGAACATATTAAATTATAAAGGGTGAATAATTTTTGTCATTTTTAAAAATGGCTAGCCAAATTCACTATTTTATATGTATAGAAACATTGGGTGGACCTCTGTCAAAATCATTTCAATTTTGTGATGATACCTTCAAGTTTGGCAAATATTCATATCAGAAATGCAATTTTGGACCTGCCCCTGGAAACTGTTATATTTTATATATAGTCACCTTGGTGGACTTCTGTCAGATTTTTTATGATTTTCATGTCGATATCTCCAATTCTTTAGTTTTAATGAATATGTATGACTTTTTATTTGTGACTATACCTTCAATTCTCTAACTTTTGTGAATAGTTGTTGTCATTTTAGTAAAAAAAAAAAAAAATTTCAATTCAGTCTTGACATTGTATACATCTAGGTACTTTGGCCAGATTTGTTGATAAAAAAAAAAAAATGTCTGACATCTCTTCAAAACCATTGGCCTGATTACTTAAATGGGTATTTTGGATGAACCACTTACTTATTGATTCTACTTATTCAACAATTTAAATTTTCTCATTATAGTGATTGACTGAATATTCCTTTCTCAGTGCACTCCTCAGACAGCAGAACTATATCAGCCAACATGCTGCAAGTTTTTTCACTTGAAGTCCATCTTGAATAATACATGAATTATTCTAGATTTTCTATCTCTTAGAACTACAAAATGATGTATGTTAACATAACAGGGATTGTAGCCTCAACATTAATGATTATAAAAAGACTCGTAGGCTGCTACTCGATAAATTTAGTTCCAGACTGTTAAATTTAAGAAGTTAGATATGTACTATCGCCATGACTACATGAGCACATGTCCGGATTTCACCTTTGTACACCTTTAATCACATTCCATTCTAGTATTCCATCATAGATCCTACATTAAGCCAAAAAAAAATATCTCTGTTTCTGACTAAAGCAGCTGACCTACAATTTGAATATTACATTTCATTCTGTCCCCATCAAATACTCATGTTTACTAAAAAAACAGTATTTAAACAGTTTATGAAGTTTTTATGAAGTATGCAAATTTGTTTTGAGATGATCTGTTGGGTCAAAGTCAAAGTTGTCAGCCAATTAGTGAGCATGTTTTGCTGACTTGCTGTTCAAAGATTTCCAAGACTAAAAAATTGCTTGGTTTGAAAGGCATTTTCAGATAAAAAAAAATCTTTCAAAATGAGTCTGTCCTTGCTCCTAAAAAATGTTCCTCTACAGTAACTCACTGTGATATTTGGCTGATGAATATTATTTAGCAAGCTACTAATTTGAATATGCAAATTATTGTCCAAACAATGGATGACAGCTATAAACTGTCACACACACTTATGTCAATTGATAGTTACCACAGTGACGAAAGTGGCTAGGTACACCCTTTCTTCGAAACACCAATAAATTTGCATGGTAAATGACCAAAATCTTTAGAAAATCCCAGAGAATAATCAGTGATACAAAAATTTAGCAACCAGTTTAAAAGGGGGGATGGCCATCAGGCTGCGCAAGTGCGACATTTGTGTTGATAAACATTAATTTACCCATAATCCAATGCGCTCTTCTAATTGAAATCACAAGTACTATAGTACAAGGTTTGACCTGGGCCCGGCTTGCACTAATTACAGCCAAAGACTCCTTCTATACCTTTCAATCACCTAAAAAAAATACTTAATTAATTTAAGGCTTGATGTCTCAGTTTGTACTCATTGATCTGCGCTTCTTTGTTTATATGAGACCCATATATCTTGCGCATGCGTGGCACGATGACTACCATCCTTTAATATTATAGAGCCTAAATATATGGTTTATGATTGCAGTTAAAGAGGAGTTGTCGTTTAACTGCGCATGCAGCAGACGACTATAGCTTATCGTTGTTTACAATCCAATGTCTACCCATGAGCCTGTGCGTTTTAGAGTGCGTTGTTATCGTCGCTTGGGACTTAATTCCCTCGCGTGCGCAGGTGACGACCACCTCCGCTTTAATAGATATGCTATACCAGGTCTATACTGTCCACTTCACTTACTTCATAACGTGGTCTACTTTATAAGGAACCAATACCACTCTCTTTCCTTCTATCAAACTATTTTCATTTAGCTTCATATTTATGTAACAAATGCCAAACTACTTTAAGACGGTTGCTACGCTGACGTCAACGTTGCTCATAAATAACACATAATTTCTTGTACCATGAAGCTTAATGCTTGTACATAAACAAGGACGTGATTGGGATCACATTGCGCACAAACACCATTTAGAAGATCTGGAGGAGCAGGTCAAAGGGCGCCCTCAGCTGCGACTACGTGGCAATCTTCTTGCATTGTGGGTACATGGCGACAATGAGGTTGGATAAACGTGACACTTCCTGGTTGACGTAGATTTAGCTGTTTTGAAGACCACCGGGCTCCCTGACATTTTGTAAAACTGGTTGTACAAGAGAGTTAGCCGACATGGCGGGCGGTTTAACAGAAACCGGCGATTTATACTCGCCCGGGGTGAGTTACATATGTCATTGCTCTTCTATTGCATTGCTATACCGGTTCACACCAATTATTTGCCCAGCTGTTTTACGACAGACTGTTATGTGAACAGTGCTGCGTTCACTTAGTACTACATTCAGTGTGCGTAAAACAGATTGTTTGATATTAAATGCCCGAATAATTTATATTTACATTAATAATTTAGAATTCTGAAATAAAAACACACTTTTTTTCTGACATACAACACTTTTTTTTTACCAATCAAAGTTGTCTGTAATACGTATTTTCTCGTATTGCAACCACTACACACATAAACTAAAACATTGACTTTATCTAGTGTGGGATACTGCAGTTGTAGACCCCTGTCTCGGTTCACCCCCCTCTAGTTTCAGTGTGGGCTACCTACCAGTTGTCGGCATACATGACTTTTGATGAAGTGGCTTATTTTGTTAAAAACTCTTAATCCTTGATCCTATTAGGACATTTTCCCCTGTGACTGCTATATTAGAATTCAGGAATTATCAACCAGAATAAACTACCAGCAATAAAATTGTGCTGCGTTCACTTAGTACTACATTCAGTGTGCGTAAAACAGATTGTTTGATATTAAATGCCCGAATAATTTATATTTACATTAATAATTTAGAATTCTGAAATAAAAACACACTTTTTTTCTGACATACAACACTTTTTTTTTACCAATCAAAGTTGTCTGGTAGTCTGGATGGGACTGCAATTCAAATATTCATTCTGCCACCGTCCCTCAACACCAGACTGTGATTCTCCGTAAGGTAATGCCCAATTGATTCTCGATTAAAGATGCCATGTACGTACGAGATTTTGTTACCGGTGTTTCAGTGAGACTTGTCTTGCAGTAACCACAGTTCCTCGGTACAAAATCGGATGACATGTCATTTACGAAATCGCTGGTACATCCCAGGATACTAAATAACAAGTCGAAGCTAGAGGAATCGACATGAATGATGTAATACGTATTTTCTCGTATTGCAACCACTACACACATAAACTAAAACATTGACTTTATCTAGTGTGGGATACTGCAGTTGTAGACCCCTGTCTCGGTTCACCCCCTCTAGTTTCAGTGTGGGCTACCTACCAGTTGTCGGCATACATGACTTTTGATGAAGTGGCTTATTTTGTTAAAAACTCTTAATCCTTGATCCTATTAGGACATTTTCCCCTGTGACTGCTATATTAGAATTCAGGAATTATCAACCAGAATAAACTACCAGCAATAAAATTATTCTTAAAAACCTATACTGTAAAATATCTTATTTTTATTAGGAATTTTTTCACTATTTTTGATGAAAAGATGAATCAGTGAAAATAAAATTCAATAAAAGTTCAGTTCACCTCGTCATACACAAGGAATTTTATATGCTGATGCATAATGCATAAAAATTGTACCATATTAGTAGTGACGCTTCAAAAGTCATGCTTCATGTCATGCTAGCGAATTTAACTCAATATAACAAAATCTTATTTTAGTTAAAATTGCCAACAATCTCAATGTGAGAGTATGAGGTTATTACGAGGATACTCAAAGTATGCACAAAGACAGTACAGCGGGAGTATCGACTGACACGGAACGGCAGTCAATGTAACGGCCTACTGCCTGAATGCATACTTTGAGGTATCCTCGTAATGACCTTATTATTATACATCTTTTCCTTTCCATGATACATCATGGGAATGCTGAAATCCAAAAAGTTTAAAACAGAATCAGCAAATTTCTTTGTGTCTAGTCCAGTCAAACCCTGGTGGCAGCCATGTTTGTTTTTTATTATTAGAGGACCGCTTAAAGCGTGTAATCATTCCATATTTGGAATTTGCATTTCCCAATATGAAAGTACCCCGTAAAATACTGCAAAATTACGGCACGCTGTAACTTATAGTGTTACGGTGACAGATGTATAATAATTTACTTTATTTTGAGCTAGCGAAATTACGGATACATACTTTTCCAAATAATGAAAAAATATATATATATAAACATTTATCATTGATCTCCTCTGCCAAATATTTCCCATCTAAATTTTCTGTAATTTTGTACGAAATATTACGGTATGTAATGCATGTACAAAGTAATTAAAGGAAGATGTGGTATTTTATTATATTTTCAGATTGGTATGATATATGTTTTCAACCTGATTGTTGGTAGTGGAGCTCTGACTTTGCCCAAAGCATTTGCTGATGCAGGATGGTTTATCAGTGTAATACTTCTTGTGACCCTTGCTTTTATGAGGTAAGTACAGTTCACTACCACCCTATCAGTGAAACAGAGTCAAAGTACACTACCCGAACTTTTCAATAGATTGCTGAAGTCAAAGTAATTAATTTCAATTTTGGTTACAACTGATTTTGTCAATTTTTGCAACTGATATCAAACCCTGAATTTTTTAATGATCTACATGATAAATGTCAAGCAAATCATTAATAAAGTCTTTGCAGTAAAAAAATATCTTATTTTCATGGCATATTCTCTCTGATTGTGAAGTGGAGATTTGAAGCAAATTTGTGATTGGCATAGAAAAATGGTTTACACTGATGTTTCCTCACTCTCAGCAAAGTGATTTAACAAGTTGGTGATATGCTGGGAAAAACAATGCAGTATTAGCCACTATGGGTACAAGTATTTTACACTGGGTGAAATAAACAGTATCATGTGACGGAATCTCTGGTTTCAAATGTGTCAGTTATGATATCAATAAATTGTGTCTAACAGCTCTACGAACAAGTGATTTTGGTGGACAATTTCCGCAATAGTACATGTAGTAAATTACAGTACTAAAGTCAATAACTAAAATTCACAATTTAATTAAAATTAAAATCGAGTTTGAGAATTGATGAGCCTTGTTGCTCAGGAAATTCAATATAACAATAATTTAAATGCCACTTCTCAGTTTACACTCGAAATGTATTGAAATATTTTTATTTAATATTGAATTCCAAATAAGAAGCCAGATTTATTCGTTATTTCATATTGTAGCCAAGCAATCAGGAATAACAAACGCTTTTACATGCATTCGAACAGCATGACGTGTTGCAACATGTGTGCATGCATGTGTAAGCTGCGTACATGTATAAATGTAATTATTTACAAGTCATTTAAATAACCATCTCCAGCTGTGCAGTTTTTTTATTTCAACTATTAACATATTTCTCTATTTCTTCATAGTTTTGATTGTACATGTACAAGCTTGTTTGGGTTTTGTTTTCATCATAGAAATGTTAAATGTTGTTCAGTGCAATGAGCTACGTCACTTAAAACATGAAACGGTTTTTCAATGCATCGTAATCAATCATACAGAGGAGGAATGGTTTTTATCTGCTGGACCCGTTACTTTTCATTCATGCTACACCATGTGTGGCAGCACATTTATAGATATTTAAACTAACAATATTGAACAATTTGCTCCATTGTAACACCTTTAGTATTATAATAAAAAATTGGATACATCAGCTGTGAACATATTGAAATTAAACAAAAAACCTAAACCTCTGCTTTGATGTTTTAGATATCTCAGCTAGTCTCTTACTGCAAGAGGAATATTCACTGGGCCTAATTTTAAGGGATTTTGAAAGGATATTCATTAGGCTTCAAGTTCAATGGTGTGTGAAGGAAACAATACATTCTATTAACCATTAAACTGGGTTTTAATATATTACGTTTCATCAAGTGAAAATGAAACCGAGCTAAGGAGTATGTCCTATATGTATATGGTATGTGTGATAGAACAGTGTCAAGTTAAAATAATTAAGGTAAATTAAAGTTTTGATAACAAATTTATTGTGTGTAAAATCAAAAATTATTATAATAAATTATTAATAATAAATATTATAATTATAATAAATTGAAACTGTAAAACATTTATTGCGGAGTAAACTAACAACCATATGGTCCAGGCAGTAGCATTAAATTGTTCACATTCCCCTCTTTATTCCTTTAAATGTGAAGTCATAGAATAAGCCTGCATAATAGACCATTTTCCTAACTTCTCAAGATCCTTTTTTACGTATGAAATTGAATGTAAAAACCAGACAAAAGTCACAACTTTATGGTAGCGTCAAAGTATTTCAGCGGTTTTTGGGGTACTTTTACATTTACCGTAATTATGTGCTACAGTGTATACAAATTTGATAATTCAAGGTAAGAGTTTATCAATGCCATGTTCAACATTGAACTATAAAAACCAAATTTCAAGTTCAAAATAACATCGTTCAATTGTTACTGCACGAGGTTCAGATGTTCTTGTTGTGTGTCGTTGATTTCACCACTGGGTAGTAATTTCAAGGAATCAACAATCACAAAGTATTTGAAAATAGATGCAGAATTTGTTATATAGTCGGCAATTTGTTAACCTTCTCACCACCACCCTCCTTTCTTCACAAATTCTTCTAAATCTCAGCTTTTTCTTTTCTCTAGTTTTATGACATCAACCTTTCTAATTGAAACCATGGCCGCTGCAAATGCTGCTATTCGATATAAAAAACTAACTGAGAAACCTGAAGTAAGTAGAACACCTCTGTGTACAAGTCCTAACTTTACCGTCTCAGACGGAACAGCCATATTAAACACCCAAACTGCAACATTGCCAGCTTTGCATATCTCAAGATGATTACATGATTAAAACTGGTTTGATTAATAAAATAATTTCCTTTTATGCATAGCAAACCAGTCAGCATCTTACCCGGCAATGTTGCTGTTTTGGTGTTTGGAACAATGTGGCAGTGACAGTCAGACATCATTTATCCATTCTTTCAGTCCCATACATGTATATGCCCTTCTTCAATAATCCAAAGAAGATTGTATATGTTGAGTAAAATTTGCAAAGGATATAAAGTTGCTCACTAAATCCAACAGAAAAACATGCTAAAATTACCTACCGGGTATGAATAATCTCTTGACCAAATTATTTATCAGCAAGGTTTAGCCCTGTTAATAATTAACTTTGTTAACTGTCCAGGGTCTGTTATGCAGTATAATATAAGGTTATTACGAGAATACCACAAAGTATGCACGAAGACAGTACAGCTGGAGTATCGACCAACGCGCAGCGAATGTCGATGCGCGGCGTACTGTCTGAGTGCATACTTTGAGGTATTCTCATAATAACCTTATTATTATACATCTTTTCCTTTCAAGGATACACCATGGAAATGCCGAAATCCAAAAAGTTTAGAAAAGAATCATCGAACTTCTTTGTGTGGCGTCCTGTCAAACTCTGGTGGCAGCCATGTTTGTTTTTATTATTAGAAGACGCTTATGCGTGTAATCATTCCATATTTCGAATTTGCATTTCCTAATATGGTAGGATGACAATACCCCGTAAAATACTGCAAAATTACGGCATGCTGTAACTTATGCCGTTACGGTGACAGATGTATAATAATGTCTTTTGTTTGTGACACGTTTAGGGAGAAGAATCAGACACTGGCAGCCTGAGCAGCCATGGTAGTGTCGAGGAAGAAAAATCATCTTTACTTGCTTCACAATCTGCAAGTATAAACCGTAAGTAGACTGTATCGCTGCAGTGTGTGTGATGACACCGTGTCATCGTATTTGTGTTGTTTATACTCTGGGGAAATTTCATTCGTAAACCTTTTCCTGGGTAAATGTAGTGTTTATGAATGTTTTGTCTTGCATGGCTTTGTGGAATTACAGAATCGTTTACGGTTAAGGGAAATTTTTATTTTTTCATTCTCTATGATGACCCGGGGTAATGTCAATTCATATGACCTATATTTTTGCTTATAGTATCTAGATACATACCTACTAGTATATTCTATGTGAAATACATGTCAACCTACTTTATCTGTTACATCATACCTTATGCCATGTTATTCATAATCATACTTTTTAATAGTGACTGAGTATGAATCATGCCACCTCTCAGTCAATATGTAAGCATCCAACTCCTTAATTTCAAAATATTGCCGACAGTACAGCTCTCACCCAACCTGTTCATAGCATTTTCATTTCCGATTTGTTGCATCATATATTTTGTAGCACGTTACAGCATGCCATTCTGCTGATTTAATTGGACTGACCCAGCCATGGTAATTTAATTTTTTTAATTGCGCCATTCCTTTAAAAAAATCTCTAGCATAGTTGTAGTAATACACTATGCAAATGAACATCACAAGCATAATTGAAATGCAATGCGCGATCAGTGTTATCAGTGCATGATACGATGTCACTATTGTAATACAGGTGCGAACTTACTGCCAGAAGTTAGAGTTCGAAACTAAGGCAGGTTACGTGAATGCTGTACTGTGTATGCTATAGTTGTTTCTGTACATAAAAAGTTTGTACAAATGTATTTGTTCATGCCTATGTGTTTAATCTGTTTCTGCTTATGTGTTTAAAGCGAGAGGGTCGTCACCTGCGCACACGCGGGAATTGAGTCCCAAGCGACGATAACAACACATGCTAAAAACGCAAAGGCTCATGGGTAGAAGCTTGTTTGTAAACAATGACAAGCTATGGCCTTCTGACGCATGCGCAGGTGACGGCTCCCCTGCTTTAAGTGTTTTATAGTAGACATATCTGTTCTTGCCTTATGTGTTTATTTTTGCAATCCCAATTCCAGTCATACCAGTGTGTGCTTTATTTTATTTGCATTCTGTTTGTTTAAATGCCAGGCTCATCCAGCTTACCTAAAATACAGTACAAACAGTACTCAGGTAATTGTATAATTATTAGGTACTAAGAATTCTTTTCATTTATTGTTCGTTAGCGTTAATATAATTTATAGAATGCACTTCCTTGAGTCTAAAAGTTTGCTTCTATTGCCAGGATAATAAAATTGATCTTTAAATTTGTATACCAATATTTCATATCAGTGGCATCTTTATTGTCATAGCATATGTCTTTACACCCATGCCATTTCAAACATTGTTGCTTAGATACAATAGCCATTATAGAGGCTAAGCTACAGATTCTCAATAGGCATAAATCATGGAACATCTTACACTGTGATGGTCTTGTGATGTGTAATACCTTGATTTATTGATTTAACCATTTCACCACCAGTTCCCTATTTTCATCACAAAATAGTCCCGTTTATACCAGGGTAAGTCTGCACTTTTCTTCAAAAGATTCGGACAAAAATAGCCAAACTGGAACTGATTCAGAATCAAAAACATTTTTGTCTAAATAAAATAAAATAAAATAGATTACTTTAGTTGATAAATTATTTTCTGCTGGTGGGAAAAAAACTAAATAACAATGTTTAAGTAAATAATGTTCTTGCGATTTTGAAACTTGAGAACAATGACAAATTACATTTCTACAGTCTTAAATTTAAATGTGATGATTCATAAAAGTATATTGACGGATAAACTATAGTAAATTAATGATTTAAATGCTATATTTCTGTATTTTTTTTAGAACTGAATTATATGCACACTTCACTTTAGTAACAATCAGTATATGCCCGTTATGCTTATTCCTGAACACACTGGGTTTTAAAGGTGCTTGTGTTTCCACTCCTATGTTGACTCTGTTCACCACTTCCTGTTTCACATTTTAATTGTTAACCACTTCACTTTTACATCACAATAATTCCTGAACTTGTATCTCATATATAAAAAATATATACGAAATTATCGATATTATTGTGTCATGTTCTGTGACATGCAAGACATAAACATCTTCATCTATGCATGTTGCACTCTGTTGATCAACAAAAGCGTCATTTATGTAACCACAGAAGCTCATTCAAAAATGAGAAATAGGGTAGCTAAAATTTATCCAAATTTCATTGAATTGCCGTACATAAAATCAGGGAAAATACAAGAAGTTGAACATTCATTGAGGAAGCTAGCAATGTGTCAATCAGGGGCTGATATATTGCCTATTGTACAGATGACACTTGACTTTATAATAAAAAAACTATCTTCCACATTTTTCAGTCACACTTGTATAATTTTATGCTATTTCTCTGGGTGACTGTATCATTGAGTTGGCTTTGAAAAGATTCGACTTCAAATAACTTTGTGACACTAGGGTTTCATTGCCTGGTTCCCTGCAAAGTGATGTTATGATGCAGTTGATCATGCTGTGAACCCATGTTCTGTTCCTCCAACTGAACTAGTAATTTGCAAATTGCAGCTCATGAATATTAATAGTAACTCGAATCTTGCAATTCATTTGTTTTTACTTGATCACTCCCCACTTTCAGAGTGTTGGTGGACCACGTGAATCTTGACAGATTGAAGAGTGATTTTCAACAGAGATCATGTAGATGATGTGTAATTGATGTATAAATAATATCATGTTGTTGTTTTTTTTTGTGTTTTTTTCAGAAATCACTGAAATACCTTCCAAGACTAGAAGAGATCACTTTGATATTACACAGAGAATAGAAATGGGTCAAATGGCTTCTATGTTTTTCAGCAGAGGTATTTTCTTATTTTATGATTTTTTAGGTTGTATTGTTTAGGTGACAGACCCTTTATATTTTGAGTTACTTAGCCCAAGAAGCAAATTTCAAACTTTTTACGCTCACAAGGTACTCTGACATAAATACATCATGCATTGCAGTTTTTCTGCTTTGAGTTGCTGCTACACAGAATTACCTTAGTAGGTAATGCGTAAGTTTTATTGTATGAAGAGTACACCTTGTCGCAGTTGTTGAGTCGTCCTGTGTTAAATCCTCTGAATGACTGCACAGTGAACAAATCCAGAGTTTGGCACACATTCCAATCTTAATAAGGTAGTCTTTGAATCATTGCGCAGAAAATATGTGTAATACAATGACTTGATAACACCCTATAAACTTAATCGCGGGAGAGACCATAGAAATGCTTGGTAATTTTTGTTGAGTGGCAAGAATACTGTGGGAAAACTTTATTTTCGCTGGAATTAATTTTCGCTGAAAAGGCTTTTTGGGCGTTTTGTATGGAATTTATCTTCACTAATTTTTGATGAGTTTAATGTTAAATATAGGAAAAAAAGTATATTTGCTGGATTTTATTTTCACAGAATAATTCCTTCAGCGAAAATAGCGAAAATAAATTCCAAGTGAAAATAAAGTATTCTATAGTATTTCATATTTCAAGAACACCAAAGCTGACAATACTGATTTAAAGTATGTTTTTTTTCTATTAAAGCGGGATTTCTTAATATCAAAAATATCTTTTTTTGTGTGTCTTAGAGGTACGGTATTATCATTTTTTTCGACAGCTGGCGTCCATTTATTTTATGCGTGTATTGTTATATATTTATATGGTGACTTGGCCATATATGCAGCAGCAGTTCCTACTTCACTTCGAGATGTAGTCTGGTAAGCTTGCATTTTTATAAACCACCTACTTTCTGCTGTATTTCATAATTTTTTTCTTATGTATATATACCAGATTTGTTTTATTTAAAGCACATCTCCAATAAAGCACATATAAACCGAAAACCACATTTGGTGTATACTGAATCAGTAAAATATTACTTATTTTGCCGTAGAGATACTTGTCATTTATATAAACGCATGTGCTACTTATAGAACAAATATATGGTATTTTATTTTTTGATGTATTATATTTATGTTTTATTATATTTTTCTGTATTTATATGTCGATCATTACAAATTAACAATGTATCTTCGATAGAAATATTGTGTGAATTCATGCATAAGGAATATTATCAGGTTATCAAGACAAAACACAAAGTACGCCCAACGTGATAGCAATGACCAAAGCGTTGCAGAGGTTGATGTGCTGCCATACTGTGAGTGTGAACAGTCTCCCGCCCATCGCTTTACGTCTACATAGTTCTTGAGAATGTAATTTCACGTTAATCTGTTTCAGTTATTCCAACCAAGGCAATTCTAATACTAATTTGAGTGAGAATCATCCATGTTGGAATTCCAAGAACTTGACAAGAATTGATGTCTATAGAATATTTCTGGTCAGTATTACTGTGGAATACTTTATTTTCGCTGGAATTAATTTTCGCTGAAAAGGCTTTTCGGGTATTTTGTATGGAATTTATTTTCACTGATTTTTGATGAGTTTAATGTGAAATGTAGGAAAAAAAGTATATTTGCTGGATTTTATTTTCACGAAATCATCCCTTCAGCGAAAATAAATTCCAAGCGAAAATAAAGTATTCTACAGTATTAGTTTGCTCTATCATCTTTGAGTGGAACAATGCTTCTACTGTCACCGCTGTGTTTTCTGAATATCAAAACGACAACATTGCCTGCTATGTTACTAACTGGTTTGCTATGCGCGCCTGTAGTTCGTTGCACATTTATAACAAGTTGGTCAAACCAGCCTAAACAGAATATTAATAGTAGGTGACATGTTGAATATAAATAGAAGATTACAATGTGATTGCCTTTTAATTTATTCCATTCAATCGTATAAATTTGTATATAATAAATAACAAGTTATCCAAACAAAATCTATGTACTGATATGTCTGTCATGAATAGAATCGTAATGTTTGTAAATGTGCGCATTCAGTCGAATGGCGCATCTTCATAAGTATGGTTTGAACTAACCAATTCTAATCTTGTAACAGCTTTGAAAGACAAATTGCAAACTCGTCATGTTGCTGTTTTAGTGCTCAGAACAATATTGCGGTGATACTAATTTTTCTTCAAAATCTTCTTTGGATGGAGCTCTATCAAATTTGGGTTGTTTTATTCCACAAGATGGGCAATAAAACACATACTTAAACAATGCAAAACCTTGTGAAATTAGGGAGAGAAAGAAAGGTCAGGTGTTGTAGTTAGCATACCCCGCTCCGTACATGGCTTCTGTCTTTAGTCAAAATAAGTCTCATTTCAGTAATCTAGTGTAAAATAATTGCATTTTTGGTTTCATGTGCTTCTATTGGAGATGTGCTTTCAATAGAGCAAACCCAGTACTGTAAAAAACTGTATTAGAAGCTGCATCCCCATTGGAAGCTGTACACATTCTTTTACAACAATTGAGAACTAAAAATTCACCATTTCTCATATGTGTAGATGCTCTAATAGAAGCCCCATCTCCTCTGTTGCATTGGACCATTTTAATAGAAGCTGCAACTTCTTATTTCAGATTTTACAGTTATCATTATAGGCTAGCTACTGCTAGAGCCAGGATGAATATGGTGTCTGTGTAAACCATTGATTTCGGGTTAATACCATATTCCTCTGTGATCCTGAAAAATGAATCTATTGGATACACAGCTGTACTATTCATAGTATCGACTTCTGTCCAGCTTTGTTTTATGTTTTATAAATTATAGATGCAGGGAAATCTCATAAATCAACTTTGTTTATTTGTTTTAGGGTGTTTTCACAGTGACATTGGTGCCATTTGTTTTCTTCAATGTACAGAAAACTAAATATCTACAGATCTTCACAAGTCTAATGAGATGGCTAGGTATGTACATTTCTATATGTTTCATGATACACATAAGCAATTTCAGCTTCTATATGGTACAAGTTCCCTGGTGTACAATGAAGAAATTTTTGTATTTCTGAAACTATTTTATAATCTACATACAAGCAGCTTCTCGGCTGAGATAGCTCCGCTGCGCTGTTAGCAATGCACATTTCAATCAGAAAATCAACGAGATCATCACAAAATGAACAAATCTGAGAGAGGTCCACCTGAGGTAGCCTATATGTATAATATCAGAGCAATCAGACTTGCGGTTTTCAATAAGATGTTGAAAATATCACCTTTTACCAAAAATGACAAAAATATTCATCAAAATTAGAGAATTGAAGATATCACAAAATGAACAAATCTACCCAAGAGAGGTCTACTCAATGGACACCAAGTATCAAAGCAATTAGACTTGTAGTTTTCGAAAAGAAGTTGAAAAAAGTATAAAAGTTGACGTGGACACCAATGGACAATCACTAATACATTGTATAATAAGCTCTGCTCGATGAAGTCAACAGCGGAGCTAATAACACTTACTTTTTCTGCAGAGAATTTTAGTTTTTTCTTAAAAGTTCAAAAGCACAATTTTAACAAAAAAATCATGCATTGATTTGGGAAACATTTGACTTTGTTTTGGGCTTTAAAATCATTGAAATTTTGTCACTAGAAACTTTACTGTTTGATAATTTGGAATCATTCAATGATTTTCTCAGACTCACCAAATTTCATAACATAACATTTTGTAACATGCTCAAGTTTTAACTTAGACTATACAAATAAAGATTTCTGCTTTTCCATAATGTAATGAATTTATCTTCTTTTTACAGCATTTTCAGTTATGATCATTCTTGCCTTGATCCATGTAAGTAAAGGCAAAGGAGCTGGACAACCTAAAGCATTCATATTTTCCGGAATACCCAATCTGTTTGGAGTGTGCATCTACTCATTCATGTGCCAGCATTCACTGCCTTCACTCGTCACCCCGATCAAAAACAAATCCAGATTATCTACTTTATTTTTTGGAGATTTCACTGTAATCTTGATGTTTTATTTAGTGCTGTCTTTTACTGCAGTATTCTGTTTTGACAACAGTCAGCTGAAAGATCTCTACACGCTCAATTTCAGTGACAGCGCAGTCTGTAGCGTTGTGGCAATCCAATACTTTCTAGCTCTCTTCCCAGTATTTACACTAAGTACAAATTTTCCTATAATTGCAATAACCCTGAGAAATAACCTAAAAACAATGTTCCACAGGGAAGGTAAAAAATGCCCGTGGATGGTCGATCAAATAATCTATCCCATGATTACAGTGCTGCCGCCGATCGGTGTTGCATTTTATACCCACGATTTAGAGTTCCTTGTTGGCATAACCGGCTCATATGCTGGAGTGGGTATCCAGTATCTCACACCAGCTTGTCTTGTTTATTACGCCAGAAAACACATTGACAGATGCTATGGAAAAAGACTGGAAAACAAACATGCGTCACTCTTCAAGCACAAGATATGGGTATTTTTTATTTTAATATGGGCTGTAGCATGTGTGATATTTGTGACTGTCAATCATATAGTTTCACGAAAATAGTATAAATTATGCCAGCAACAGAAACGTTTTTTGACGTCTGGTGTTGTAGATTCAGTCAATTCATTTTTGTGTGACGCTGAATTTAACAGAGTTCCCTAAGTCATAAAAGTCAAAATGGTCGACTGATCAACCTGGTTTTTATAACATTTGGTTAACAGTCGAACATTAAAGATACTGTTCCAACAATTATCGGAATCGTTATCCAGTATTTTGGCCAGTAATGCAAGAAAAATTAAATCCTGGTCCAGCTCAACATAGACCCTATAAATATATCATGCAGTACTCAAATCCCACATATGAGAATAATTTAAAAACCTTAAGACCATTGTATGTCATCACCACCACAGAGGATGTTGTATATTTGTATAAGGAGTTGTGTTAACAGGTATAACTAGGCTGAAACTCGTTCACTTATTGATAAAGAATATGTGCCAACGTTTGTATTACTGTATTCAAGTCATATTAGTATTAATTCAATACATGGTCATGCCACAAGATTTTTGTTTCATGCATTTTCACAATGGTGAACTGTAGATGCAATTAAATTTTATTATTGGAATTTGTCGAAATGTAAATCGGCCTCGGACGTATTGGTAATTTACTTGACATAAAATAATGCAATGTTATCTGTGGATAATAAAATGCTGACACAGTACAGCTGGGAACATGTGCATATTTTTGTTTCCAAATACCAATGCCATGAATTTATTAAATTTTAATGTAATTGGTGCAGCTGAGTATTTTCATTATTATCAAATCAAGAAAAGTAGGGAAGAAATTGCACAAGAAACTAAAAAATTTGAGATGTGATAACTTGTTCACATGATTATATTATAGCCTCCAATTCTTAAATGCCCAGACCTTGCACAAATCTATTACAGTATTGAAAGTTTGTAAATATTTATGTATATCTACATTAAGAGGCTTCAAAAGGTTGAGAATAAGAAACTCTGGAATAGTTTTTTTTAGTAATTTTCATTTGCAGATTTTTTTAAAAAATCCAGTGTTCCTACAGTTGTGTTAATTGCAATACATGTAGTTGGGTTCACTTAGTAATCAGTCTGCTCAATATCACACTTTCACCCAGAGAATAATTTTAGGAAAGTTTCTGTTTCAGCAGATTGATAAAATTTTGATCTGTATAAATTTCACTGAAATTTGGAAAATAATTTTGATTTCATATTACAGAATTATGTTTTCTCAACAAGTTGTATTGAATGTTTCATCTTGGTTGATACAAGTCACAGACAAATTTAAAAATGTGTTAATCAATTTATCACGCATTGTTCTTGTAAACTCAGATTTATTACAAATAAAATTTATTTCTTTGTACAAGTGTTTTTTTTTTTTTTGCATGAACTCTAGCGATATGAAATACATATTTACAAAACAAAGCCAAGAAAGAAAACATTACATATAGTTTACAACCATTTTGAGTATTTTTTTATTCAAGGGATTGGACTTTGTTGAGTTTTTGATGAAGCTCTAGATAATGATGATGGTGTTTTATATCCAGCTGATCTTGTTGGGCTTGGAGATTTCTTTACATCCACACTCCGTCTACTTGCTGCTCCGACTTCCTCATCACTATCTGGGGGTTCATGTTTCTTCCAAAAGTTTTCTACTTTAACTGTAATGTCTTCATTTTCTTCTCTCAATTCACGCTGCCATTGTCTTAATTCTTGTACTTCCTCTTCTCTTCTGACCTATTGAAATAAGAGAACATCGAGAGGGTTAATCCTACAGCAATGTACCCAAAGTCATTTAACAGTGTCAAAATTTGGTTAAATGTTGCATTAGTCCCTATTAAATTAAATCTATATATTAGGATACGCAGAAGACTAGATGGCAAGAAGAATTTGAAATAATGTGAAGACAATCTCACAAGTAGCTATCCCACTGAATCTTGAAGGTTATATGTATCAATTCCCAACAGCAAAACCTGCTTGGCCAACTTTTTCAATAGTTTCAAACCATGACACTTGGTCACTCTTTAATTTCAGAAATGCTGGACACAAAAAGACCAAATCTGGAGTTATAGGACAGAATAATGGGTCAAATGACCACAAGTGGTATAATACCAAATGCTGCCAGTAAGTTAATAATCAATGTGAATAAATACTGCATGCTTGACAGTACTAAAATGCCTCACTACACATCGTAGTGCATCTTCCACTTGGCCACAGGGCATCCCTCAAAAAAAGAAACTTAATAACTAATCTTATCAGAGACTGAGAAACTCATCCACAGGAGTTCACAAATGGAAATACAAAACCAACACCATTCTAAGATTAAGCCTGAAAATAGACTGAATTTCTTACCAGATAGCCTCTGTAAAATGACTGGATAACAATAGCTGCTTCTTCTTCTGTCCATATTAATGATAAAGGTAGTGCAGGACGAGGGTTTTCTTCTAAAATTCTTTGTACAAATGGGATTTCATCTATTGTATCATTCTCACGACCAAAGTAATTAGGATTGTGCCTGACATGAAAAACAAACAGAAACCTGATCAGTTCATGATGAAGAAAAAGACCAAGGACTACCTACTAATTTTGTAAATATGTCGGGACTGTAGACAAATGTACTGACAATTTTTTAAAACAAAGTAGGTAGTCTTACAACATCCAGAGAAATCTCAATGACAGTGGTTTGTATTGTAAGTTTCAATTAAATTAAAGTCTGTCTAGTTCAGCTGTGCAGATAAAGTTCAGTCTGACATTAAAAATGCAATACCGATAAGAACAATTCTTTTTTAGTATTTTTGTTGACACTGTATATTGATATTGATACATTGGACTATGATACCCAAGTTGTTTTTTAGTGAAACAAATCTACTAAAATATGTATAATATGCAGTTGTTGTTCTGGTAAAATGCCTAATAGTGGTTTTGATTTTTTATTTAATGAAAACTGTTCTGTGTTTGTAAACACAACATTTATAGTTTATGATAACTCAATTTAATTTAATTCAATTTGAACAAATATTAAAAAATATATCATATTCCATCTCTATTCCATATTTTAAAGGGCAGTGGTTGTCTAATGCGGGACTCATAGCGATGTATACAACAAGTGTAAAATACATTGTTTACATGATATTCAAACATACTGCGTGAAGACCACCACCTTTTAAGGGAACAATTATACTACAAGTCTAAAAATTATTATACCTTGTGTACAAAAAAAACACAATGCTTTGAGAATAGAAATTACAATAGAAAGTAATTCGAGAGAGTTGATACCCTGGCCTGTTAGAGTTAAACAAATGAGTTAAGTATTACCTCCAAAGATATTCAGTTAGATAGTCTAGACCATTGAATCTGAATCTCTTTCTCTGTAAATATATAAAAACAATGTACACGCCATGTTATTGATACAATCAATGAAGCCGACTACAGTACGTCTCCAGAGACGACCAGACTCTTGGTACATGCACATTATTTCTCAAGGTAATGCACCAAATAGGAAACATAGTTTATTATGGGTTCCTCAAACCCAGAGGACCATAAAATATAAACTACTCTATTGGAAGCTCGGGCCTTGTTGAAATACCGGTACTAGAAAATATAGCAGTAGCCAATGTGAGCACCTTCCATACATTAAAGCCACATAATTTTTAGAAAATTACATAAAAATTGCACCAAAATTATGGCACGCATTACATTGAAACTGTATCCTCACCTCAAAACATTTTTGTTCTCTTGCTTCTTTTAACATTTCCAACAAACCTGGTAATAAAACTGGGAAAACATAGTGTTCCAAGTATTCCCTTGGGGTACCTGGAAAACAAAAGAGGTAATATTATCATACAAGTATCAGCATGCATAAAGATATGATTCTATACTTTCACTGATGAAAAATAATACTTTGCCAGTGTGGCCTGAACTATTCATTTTCATATTCGTTATTATATGCATAGTACAGAATCAGTTGTACAGCTTGACAGAAGACAATTTTTAACTATGACGTGATCATGGAATGTTCAAGTAAACATATGCCCAGTAATATAAATATTAAGCATTAAATACTAAAATAGAACAATCAGTGTCTTGTAAATATTTGTCACCAATATGTACTTTATGTACTCTGAAATCAAGAAAGGCATGTTATACTTACAAAAAACTTATAAACCCAACTGTTTTCAAGTTATATCTGTCTCATTCAAAACCAAATGAGACAATTGGAATGGCTTAGTCACTAGGCAGACCCATTCTGTGTAGTGCCCATGAGTAATTACAACATGCTGAAATAGCTAACATTTGTGTATGAACTCATACAATGGTACAACTGCCATTTTCATGTATATTTAAGTTTATAACTAACTTATACACGCTTTAGCTGACTTCAGTATATTGTATGTTACAGGCACATTATAGTTTTGTCTAGATTCAAAATGAAAAAATGTACCAATGATAAATAAATAGTTTTTTTTTTCTAACTTTTGATGAGAATTACATGAACCTTAATTCTGACTTGCATATACTTACATGTGTCTTTTGGTGGAGGAGGTGGTGGCGGTGTTGGTGGTGACTTGGGAGGTTTTTCTAATACTGTGTGTCCAATTAATGCAGGGTGTGAGACAGCCGGGTCAAAATCTGTTGTTGTGTCACAATCTATGTCAATCTGCTCCACCATTTTACCATAGATCACTGGAGTATGAGTAGCCGGGTCAAACTGAATTATTTCAGTCGTGACTGAATCTGTGTCATCTTCTAGCTTGAAAGGTGGCCTCTTCAGTGAAAATTCTATTCAACAAAATGAGTATAATAATATGGTTCATAAATGTGAGGAGTACTGCATGTTTTTACTCAAAGATTAACACAAATGTACATGCTGCAATAAATATGTAAGAAAGTTTAAATTCAAAAACAACAGACTGTTTTGTTTTGTTTATGGTGAGCATAAAAATACATAACCTCAAGAATCAATGGATTGACCAACCCGATCACATAAACCTAGACGTGGTGTAGTTAATCTGTACATCTGTCACTGTAACGCCATAAGTTACAGCGTACCGTAATTTTGCAGTATTTTACGGGGTATTTTCATCCTACAGATCCTAGGAAATGTGAATTCCAAATATGGAATGATTACGCACATAAGCGTCCTCTACCCGGTAATAATACAAACAAACATGGCTGCCACCAGAGTTTGAATGGACTCTACACAAAGAAGTTCACTGATTCTGCTCTAAGCTTGTTGGATTTCGGCATTCCCATAATGTATCCTTGGAAGGAAAAGATGTATAATAATAAGGTTATTACGGTACAAGAATACCTCAAAGTATGCATTCAGACTGTACGCCGTCACATCAATCTCTGGTGCATGTCGATCGATACTCCCACTGTACTGTCTTCATGCATACTTTGACGTATCCTCATAATAACCGCATATTATTGTACATCTGTCACTGTAACTCCAAAAGTTACAGCGTGCCATAATTTTGCAGTATTACACTGTATTTTCATCCTACCATATTAGGAAATGCTAATTCCAAATATGGAATGATTACGCACGTAAGCGTAATACCGGTAACCTCATAATATTCACACAACAGTAAAGTTTTAACCCTGATGCATGTGTATCCTCAGATTGCTATGTGTATCTTCAGGCCACTGAAATATATCTTTATTTAATCTTCAGAGTTTTTCATTACTTAGGTTTAAAACATTTGAGAAGTAATGGCAATGATGCAAGATGGATACACATTGTGTGAGGATGAACTCACAAGTGAATGAGAAATTTGTCAGTAGAATATTAACTGGATGGTCTTGGTATTAAAGATTACATAACTTCTTATTCAATAGTCAAAACAAAATGTGATATTTGAAGTTTATAATAATAATCATATAGCCAAAACTCAAGGATTTCATAAGCAATTATTTATTGCACCAGTGAGTTGCTTGTTACTCACCTGGATTTTGGTGGGAGTGCTCCAAAGCCAGTTGGAACCTGGGCCCAAAAGGATTGATGTTGAATGCTTTTCGCTAAAAAATGGCCTAAATTTTGCCAAAATAGCTTAAAATCATAAAATGGGGTGGTCAAAACATGTTCAGCTTGACCGTAAAAATGGGAGTACACACCAGACACATGCCACACCCCCCGGATTTTTCACAATCACAAATGTTGCATCTCCCACATAGTTTAGTCTACAACAAGGGAAATAGAAGGTTGTTCTGGTGTTGTGTTACCCATGGAGCTAAAATAATTTTAGCTCCATGTGTTACCCAAAATATCACTACACTGTATTATGTTACGGTTGCTGAACTATTAAAAGGGTCAGTATTTATTTATGTTTTTTTTTTAATCTGATTGTAAATTTTTGGTCGAATATTCATGTTCCTGTTGGTGGATATCAAGCAGATTCTATTCTACATGTATTTTATGTTGTTGTTTGGTCCCTGCTGGAAGAGCAATGACTGTGTGATGCAAAACCATTTATTTTCACCGACATTTAATTTTCACTATTTTAATGTTTTGCGCATATTCACTGTATTTTAATTTCACGATTTTGACAAGGAAACATTAATGTTTATTGTTATATCTTACGAAAATAGCGAAATTAAAACCCAGTGAATAATTAATGCATTTACAGTCTATGATCGTGTTGTTTGTTTTTGTTTTCTTTTTTTGTTTTGGAAGGAGAGTGGTGAATACCGGTCCATATACTCCTGTCTACACAACACTTCACTAAACAATTATAATGTTTTAACCCCTTTTATTCTGGCACTTATTTATTACTGATTTTTCAAAATATAAATGCAGAATGTAACTTGGCCGTGAGGAAATTCAAGTTTTCTACCAAACGTTTTACTTGTCATGTGCAGCTAAATTTGATATGCATATTGTGTAAAATTCTATTCGAGACTGATAATTTCGAATAGCAACATACCTTTGCAGATTTCTTCCCAAATATTTGGTTCTTTTTTATCCTGTACGACCGACATCTTGAATCCGTAGCTTGTTGTTGATCTGAGCCTGACAACACACGGAGATAACAATTGTATACTTCCACGTTATAAAATAGTACGTAAAACCGTCAACAGTCCTTTTTGTTGCGCGTCGTGTCACAATATTTTCTTATCATATAAGCATTCCTGTCGTCCAATTTATAATTGAGATAAATTTATACAAATATTGCCCAAATAAGCTCATACTACAAACACGAATTCACCGGTAAAGTGGTCTGGTTACCAAGGCCTTTCTGACCTTTTAGATAGCGGGCGCTGTGAGGTCAAGTGGTAAAGATCATAAGAATTTGTGAACACCAAACACGTGTGAATTCCATGTGTAAAAAGATATCAGCTTCGCCAACGATTACTTTGTGGTCAGAGAGTGAAATAACCATTTACAAGTAAGTACACATGCCGATTACCCGAATTGTTTCTGTTTTATAAGAATAACAGAAAGACAATGTATAGGACTTGTATTCGCACGGACAGTCAAGCCGTGGACTGTTATTGACCGTGACAATGTATTCGAAATATAAAACAGGTAAATCGAAAAAAATAAATAATAAGTGGAATCCCATTTTAGTGTAGTGCGTAATGTATCAAGTCAAACAAAGCTGCAAAGATGCCAATTGCATGTATTTTATATGAAATAAATATAAAAAATGTATATCTTAGTTTATAAACATATTTATATAGAATTTGTAAATACATGTACTGATCATCAGCTTTCATTCAAATATTCAATAATAATTGGCCGAGAGCTCCACATTGCTTTGGATCATCCACTTATTCAAAAAGGAAAACCTTGCTGAGTGGATGATATTGAACTAGTTTATTGATATCAATTGAACTTGTGATGATGTAGCCATATCATTTCTGGATTTGGCAATTTGAATTCTAGCAGTCATGTTGATTCATAAAATGATATATTTATAAAATGTTTATTACATCCCCAGCTTTATGCCTTTATGTATACAACAAATTTAAAAGCCGATAAAAATAAAATAAACAAAAGTATAATTAAATTAATTTTGCTGATTTATAGTTGCTGCTGTTGAAATGACGAAGAAGAACAAGAAGAATTTGGATAGTATTTCCAGTTCTAAAGAATCCTTAAATGAAGATGGAACTAAGCGAAAACGGAAACATGAAAGAAATGATACAGTTGCCATGGAAACCTCAAAAAAAGATGATGAATATGACAATTCTTTTAGATCAAGCAGTAAAAAGAAAAAAAAGCGAAAAGAACGTGGAGAAGAAATGAAGATTATCGGTGTCATACAGAAAGAAAATAAAAACATCTCTGATCTTGGAAGCCAGGATTTAGTTTCAGAAGCTAGTATTAGCTCGAAGAAAAAGAAAAAGAAACAAATGGATGAAGATGTGAGTAAAAAAGCAGTTAATTCTGACAAAAAGTCTAAAAAGTTAACAACGCAAGACCATGCTGATTTAGGAAATGAAGAATCTGGAAATGAACAAAAGAAAAGCAGGAAAAAGAAGAAAAGAAAAAGCAGCAAGGATGATACAAATAATACCATACAAAATGATGTGGAATCTCAAAATATTGGAGAAAAAAAGCAAGATAAAAAATCTAAAAAAAATAAACATCTCCAAGAAGTATTCGCAGAAGATGGGTCTGTGAATGACTCCAGTGCCTGTCATGATATGGTTGAGGAATCAAAGAAAAGCAAAAGAAAGACAGAAAAAGATAAAAAGTCTTCTGAAAAACGAAAAAGAAAACAGGACCAAAATGAAGATCTGAAATTGTCCCAAATTGATGCAGAAGACATTCATTCTGGTACATTATGCAAAAAGAGAAAGAAGAAAAAGAGAGAAAAGATGTCTGAAGAAGAAAGAATAGGAAAGCAACAAAAAAATGAGAAAAAGAATTATCAGGGATGTGATCAAGTTGAGATGAATACAAAAAAGAGAAAGTATGATCCTGGTGATGGGGATGATAATGCTTTCCAAAAGAATGCCTGCGTCATGGCAACAGAAGAAAAGAGGGAAGTTGAAAAGATACTGAACCCGAAGAAAAAGAAAAAAAAGAGCAAACATAAAGATGAACCCGAGGTGGACCAACTGAAAATTAGAGCTCCAAATAATACAGATGAAAAATTAAAGAAAAATAAGAACGATGCAATAAAATCCGAGACAGTTGAGAATTCATTGAATGGTAAAGATAATAAGATGAAGGTGAGAAATGACTAAACATTAATAATTCTATTACTATTCAATACAAAAATGATAAAACCTCTAAATTATTTACTGTCATAGTCAAACTGGCAAACATATCATAATGTATCCCAAGTTTCATTAGGAATACGCCATTGACAATTTAGAGGGGAGATTTGAAAAACATTCTGAACATATAAACTTTTGAATTTTTTTTTTAAAAAATCTACCAGTAATCAAGTTCAAAATCCAGTGAAAAAAATAAATATTTGCAGACCTTTTCTACAAACTCCCCTCCTTGAATTTTTGATGGTCAACCCTTTTATTATGATTTTCAGAGCTGAAATATATACTGTAAAACACATTGAAATAGCTACATATCATTTTAGCTAATTTGACTTCATGCATGAATTGGGAGAATATATTTTATTTTAAATTAGCCAATTCTTTAATCATTCTTCATATGTAATTATAACATTGAACAAATTCTACACTGAAACATTCTCTTTTCTTCCAGAGTAATACGTCAATGGGGCAGTGGAGCTCAGCTACTTTTGACACATCACAACAACAGAATAAATTCTTCAGACTCATGGGGGGAATGAAGAACCAACCCTCAACTAAAGATCCTCAGAATGCAACTTCAAGATCAAATTTCGCTCTGAATAAAACCATGGCAACAAAGATGAATGAAAAACTTGAAAAACAGTTTGAAGTTGCCATGGAAAAGAAATGGGATATAAAAAAAGGTTTCGGCCTTGGTTATTCTGCTCCGGAATCTGTGAACAAATCTAAGAAATTTTATATTGATAAGAATGCGGTGAAATCATTTAAGTTTGAAGACTGAATTGTGTTCATTTTCAATTGTATGTATCTTAAATATGTTAATGTATAATTATAGCAATAATTACCAGGCTTGTTTATTCATTTATGTGACTTTCAACTAAGCTTATTAGATCTGGTAGCTCAAACAATAAAACTTGTGATACAGATGTCTTTCTTATTTGGGAAACTTTTTTTTTTTTGTTTACATTAGACAAAGCAGTGTAGTGGTTGACTAAGGTAGTATCACGTTGCAGAATGCAGACATTGATTACTGGCATTTCGGGGCAGTTAGTTACCTTCCATAAGACAAGCAGGAAAAAACATATAAAATAGTTACTAGGACAAATATTGTAAAGTACATATTTGGGGGAAAATGAGAATGCATCAGTTAATTGTTACAAACTGCCTGAATGCAAATTGTCCATTTCTTACCGACTGATTTAATGAATGCCAAAAATTTTGCGGGGGTGGGGGTTGGTTGGTATTGAATCTTACAGTTGCATTCAAGTATCATGATCTAAGGGGAAAGTACAACTCACTACTTTTAATTGATACATTCAGGAGTCCAACCAACAATTTTCAGATTGACAAGTTATTTGGATGCATAGGCTAAATGATCTAAGCAGGTGTTATGTGATGCAACATGTAGTTCGCTATGATACGTATATGAAGTCATGCAACGCACATACGGTTTCACAACCCCCCCCCCCCAATTGTACTGTAGACAAAAAAAACCTTATACTCATTATAGCAAGTATGGTAACTCGTATGCTAATGGTTGTTTAGGGACTCGATACTGGTAGTACCCATGTCTTGCAGGCATCACTTTTACTAGAACCTCAACCCAAACGAACCAACATCATCGTAGGTAACTGTCTGTTGAAGACTGATACAATGGACACAATTAGATTGTGCTGATACAATACAAATCAAGGTGGTAATCTTGTAAACTTCATATCAACCCACAATCAATTAAAATACATTTTTTTCAGATGGTTAAAGGGGTGTAGTCATCTAATAAATTACATGGTTTACTTACAAATGTAAATAAAGTATTTTATTATAAATCAGTTGAGCTGCAATAGTACTTGCAGTTTACCAAGTCATGAAATTTAATCACTCAAACTGGTTCTGACATTTACCGGTATAAAAAAAAAAAAAAAATCTTTTAAATTTATAACCTTTGTGTTTATTTCAAAATGAACAAAATTTGTAAACATTCTTTTTTTTTTAATTGCAATACATAAACTTCAAACTTGCTTGGTATAATCCTGTAGAAAATGATGTGTAACGATTATTTTTATTTGATAACTTAACTAAAATTCCATCTAAGATGTACGAGAAGCATTCACTGTGTCAGTATTTTGATGAGCAGCCCATCAATGTTTTCCAAAGTTTAACAATAAAATCAATATTCTGCTATAATGCAGTATTCTAACTTGTGGACTCTGAAAGAATCTTTACCAAGATCTATGATTCAACAGATCAATCAAGGTACTTTCTTTTTACTGGCTTTAGGTTTTTCAGGTAAAGCACCTTCATTGATATATTAGTTATGTGCAATTTATCTTTGCCAATATGTAATTATTTTAATAACAAATTTAAAAGTTCTTAAGTGTGCATTTCATTTGGGAATTTAAATTTGAAGAATCATTGTCACACGCAACGTAATATTACCGTAATCGGTATAGTACAGGTGTGATGGTTCAAATACGAAAATGGCAACAGTAACACTTCCCTGGCGGCGATGATAAAATACGAACACGGAGCCAACAGATGAGGTTTCAACTGGTACTGGTATTATTATACTCTGCAAACATCAAGTACAATAACGCGGTAAAACTCCAATGACTAGATACTTAAACTCCAATACAATTCAACCAGATCTCTGATCTGAACTTTGTGCTGAACAACTCCCCTATATATACCCGCACTGTCTATAAATAGACCATTACATCAGCATACATAACGAGTCTGGAACTTACTACAAATTTCTAGAATTTTCCATTATCTTCTATTGCCTCCTACAGTGTTCTATTACCTATTCAACCAGTTTCTAAAAAAAAATCTACAATATTCCACCCAGACACAGTACGGTTCTAGAACATTCTCAGTGAAACTGAAGTGGTAAATAAGTCGTATACGACAATCATAACAAAAAAAATAGCAAACATACTAGACCTGCAGCATTAAATACAATCAGTCATGGATTCTTCTATAGAAAAACAGAGATGACGCACAGTAGTTTTATTTTACTAAACAATCAAATGCAAACTTTGTAAAATGATTTATCAGTAAAAAGCTCAATAAAACTTCAAATTTGACACAATTTGGTTAAATTTTTGTACAGTGAAATAAAGTTATGTCAGTACTGGTGTATGCATTCTTATTGCATGTATTGTACTTCTACTTCAATCTGTTACACATGTAGCAGAATCCATAGAAATGTTTGTGCAGGCAGTGGATTGCTGAATGTAAATAACTGAGTATAATGTTATGAATAATGTTTGCACAGTCTCTTTAGAGACGACTTGTAAGATTTATTTTATTTCATAGTATGAGGCATGTACATATCAAGTGAGAGGTGCTCATCATTTTTTCGCTTCATACGTCCACAATCAGACTGATATATCCCACAATCTTTTTAGTTAATATTTGTTTCTTACCGTCTTAGTGAGACTCGTTTGAATAGACATTTATAAGACAGATATATCCATTGAAGCCAGTTTAACTGTGTTATTCCTTCTTGCATGTAGGATTCTTTCCTATATACATGCTTTTTTTAATTTTTAATGTTTGAATGGCTGCAATAAAGCAAATGCATGTGCAAATGTGTGGCATAATTTATACATAAGTTAGGAGGATCCGAGGTGCAGGTGACAGCACAGTCTGATGCACATAGATGAAACTAACCGGAAAGACATCATTTTCAAACTAAGATTGAAAAAAGATGAATAATCATATTGTAAAATTGTTTTCTAAATAATCTGCTTATTGTAATTGATTTAATGATGCTAATTAGGAAGCTAGGCTTAGAAAAAAAAGATTTGGTTCCAAAATATCAAATTTCATTGCATGGATTGGATGTCTAATTCTATGAACCATATGCTATAAAGCTCTGTTTGTGCCACATTTAGGTGAAATCAGTCCAGGATATGTCTACGAAAACAGTGATGTTGTCCAAACTGTGATCAACATCATTTCTTCTAAAATGAGAAAGCAATTCTGAAAGTTTCCTCAACACTGTTCTCGTTTTTGTGTTGACGCAGCAACTGGATTTTCCAAGTGTTCTCATTTACCATAATTCTAGCTTTCAAATATTCTGCTAAAACTGACAGTCCAATATGTTGTTTTTCAGAAAACATCTTGTTCTTTCTCCTTCGAAATCCTCCAGTTTTTGTTATAAATTTCTTAACATCAGCGACAGAAGTGTAATAGTGACTCATCTTAACAGGTTTTCTTTCATGGTCACCATCACTATGTGTTGCTGTGTGCTGTTTGAGATCATAGGCATGGAGATAACTCTTCTCACATTGTCGACACTGGAATGGTTTCTGCAGAATATGAGTCATCATGTGTCGTTTGAAGTCACTTGAAAGAGAGAATCTTTTCTCACAATGTTTGCAACAAAAGGGCTTATCTTCTTTATGTGTTTGCATGTGCTGTTTTAGTTGACTTGACAGGCTGAAACTCTCCTCGCATAGTTGGCAGTGAAATAGTTTATCCTCTGTATGCTTTATCATGTGATTTTTCAGCTGACTTCGCCGATCGAAATTCTTCTCGCATTGATGACATTTGAATGTTGTATATCCTTTATGTGTCATTTCATGCAGTTTTAAATCATGTGACTGTGAAAATATTTCTGTGCAGTATTTACAAGGAAAAGGTTTATCACCCGTATTTGTTTCCATATGTTGTTTTAGCTTACTTGATCGGGTAATTCTCTTATCATAGCGAAGAGTTTTCTCTTGTGCATGCATTAACACTTCATCTTTTGGATGTCCGGAATCAATAGAATGTTTAAGCATGTGTCGCCTAAGAAGACTTGATCGAATAAAAAATTTTTCACACTGATGACACTGAAATTGCCTTTCCATGTGTGTTCGCATCACGTGCAGTTTTAAACGATTTGAACTACTGAAACTGCTCTCACAGCGTTGACAATGATATTGTTTATTTCCATTGTGTATTTTCAAGTGTCTTTTAAGATGACTTGACAGACTGAAACTCTTATCACACTGTTGACATGCAAATGGTTTTTCACCTGTATGTGTTCGCATGTGTCGCTTTAAATCACTTGATGTTGAAAACTTCTTCTTGCATGTCTGACACTGGGCAAGTTTAATTCCTGTATGTATTATCATATGCTGCTTTAGATTAGACTCTTGCGTAAATCTTCTGTCACACTGTTGGCAATGAAATGGTTTTTCCCCTGTATGTGTAAACATATGCTGTTTTAGATGACTTGACACGGTAAAACACTTCTCACACTGTTGGCATTTGAATGCTTTTACACCATTATGTACTAATAGGTGTCTTTTTACATGGCATGGCCGTTTAAAAGTTTTCTCACACCGTGGACATTTAAATGGTCTTTCATCGGTATGTGTCCGCATGTGTCGATTGAAATCACTTGATGTGGACAATTTCTTCTTGCATTTACGACACTGAACCAGTTTAATTTCTGTCATCATGTGTTTTTTTTAAACCATTTGAGAGGGTGAATCTTTTTTCTGACAAGCAAAATGTTTTTCCCCCCACACGTGTCGTCTTGGAAAATTTCAGATTCCTCAAACAGGTCTAAATGTGTTTTTTTCTGATTTAAATCCTTTGTTATGAAATAATTTTTTCTCAGCCTGACAACTTCATTTTTAAGTAAATGAAGCCACAGGCAGTATTCTCTTCTTCAAAAATGTTGCTGACTGTGCAATTCTTCAGATCCTCATGTCAGTCTAAGGTCGATACTCACTGCACTGTGATTTTTGTAATACATACTTTTCATTATTAATTAAGTTGTACAATGACACTGGTAGAACAGTCATTAGTTTCATTTATACTGGAGGGGAAGTCCAAGATGCCTGAAATAAGATAAATAAAATGTTATTTTATGTTATAAAACTAGATGATGCATATACATGGTTAATGAGAATCAGTGATGCCGCTACTGTAAAATACTTTATTTTAGCTGGAATTAATTTTCACTGAAAAGACCTTTTGGGTGTTTTGTATGGATCTTATTTTCACTGATTTTTAGCCAGTTGAATGTAAAATATAGGCAAAAAATTATATTCGCTGGATTTTATTTTCACTGAATCATTCCTTCAGTGAAAATAGCGAAAATTAATTTCAAGCGAAAATAAAGTATTTTACAGTACTTAATGTTTAACGAAAAAACACTTATGAAACAGGTTTTGATGATTTTGTTTTTATTCGAAGAAAAAACTTATTGATTTGCATTTGATTATGTGGAATCAGGAAATGTTGAGAATCTTGTTACAGAAATTTTGTTACAGTAATGCACATGCCAGCTTAATGTGGGTAGAAGGTGGAACACCAGAGCACAGTCACTTGGGGGCTGAAAATCAATAAATACTAATTTTCAAAAAAAAAATCATCCGCTATAAGTATATAAATAAACAAGTTGTGAAACACGGCACCTAATAAATCGACACCCTGTCGGTTTCAAATGTCGATTTCTTACCTTAAAATGCGAAACAAAAATTTTAGAGGGGATCAGGTGTTACGTTAATAACCATTGTTCATAATCGCTAACTTGGTTTTATTCAAAACTCCACAAATCCCGCATTTTTTGATGATATCCGACGATTTCATGAACGAAAATGGCCAGCAGCCAGAATCAAGGGGGATTCAC